AACTTACGGCACATAGTGCTATATGCAAATTGTCGGATCAGTCGACGAGGTGGCAAAAAAAGACTTTTGAAATTTGTAAGTTTTAGTTTTTTAAAATCTGCAGAGTTTATCTTGTTTATGTAATAAAATGTAGAAAAGGTTTTGTTTTTAACCTGTAAAGTTAAAATTGTGATAAAAAATTGATATTGAAAATGTTAAAAACCTAAGTGTAGTCTGATTTCTGCTGTGTGTGCAATGTCCATGCTGAAGTGAGGTATGGTTTACAAAGAATTTATGTGAGTTTTTTGGTTTTTATTTGTGTCCTGTAAAATATTTTTATATATATTTAGTTAGCTGAAGAGAGGCTGATGCCCGAAACGTTGATGTATGGAAAAAACGTTCTAACTAAATAAAAGATTCAACTAGCCCAGTGTTGAGAAAAACGTCACTTCATTGTGCCTGTACACAATTGTATTAGGTATTATAAGTAATTTAGAAATAATTTAAAGTATATGAGAGAAAGTATATAGGTAATATGCAAATGTTAGGCCATTTTATAAGGAACTTGAACATCCACAAAATTGGATTCCTATGGGGGTTCTGAAACCAATCCCTGCAGATATAAAGGAATGAGTGTATTTAAAATAATGTGTTTATTTTATTATTTACAATGTTATGATTCAAAATCTTCAAAAGTTTTAATTTCATGCGTAAAATTCTTTTCTACATAAATAAATTAATGTTTTAAAATTTTTAAAAATCTCACCTTTCCTTTGAATCCAAGTTGTTTTTCATGATTATCAAGAGAGTATATAAGTTCAGAACAATGTTTCCAGACCATTTCAAGAAGCTGAGATTCATTTTTGTATGCAACACTTTTCTTAAGAAGATTTTCAAACTTAGTCTGTCAAATTTTATAATTACATATTTAATATAAATACATTAGTTTATAAAATTAACTTTTGAAAATATTAAGTAAGCTAAGATCTAGTTACATTTTAATTCAAATAATCACTGTAAAACTTAGTTAAGAAGTTTCCACATTAGAAATTTTCCTGAGTAAGAAGTTTAATTTTCAAGTCCAAATTTTTTCCCTGTCCAATTTAAGAAAATTTCTGATTAAGTAAACAGAAATCCTTGTCCATGACTGGAAAATGGATTCACTTAAAAATATTCACAACCATGTCCTATCAAATATTTTATACAATTAATTGCAGATAGAAATGAAAAAATCGTTACAACAGAAAATGCACAAAATTTTTGCACAAAATTGCATGTGCAATTTTGGACTACTCTGAACACAAATTTTATAATTTTCTTACATGGTTATCTGACAACAATGCTTGCTGCAAAAACAAGTTCAGACAAGCACTATCAATACATAAGTGACATTGTAAGTCTTCAATGAATTTTAGTATGGTATTTGTAGATCTGCGAGATCTGTGATTTTGTTTGTGAAAATCATAAAACATATTTTTTTTTTTACATAACAAAACTAATAAAGCAATGTACATTAGATAAATATCTAAATAAGTAGATACTATGTAAGCCAAATTCACTGTAATGTATCAGAATATTGTTAAATAAATATGGATTGCTGAAAGAAGCTATATTATTTTTATTTCTGTTTAAGAAGTTTTAAAATTGATCCCTAAAAACTTCTTAACTGAATTCTACTGTATATAGAATTTTATAATAAGACAACATTATTTAATGTTTTTAATCTATTCTAGTATTCTTTAAAGTTTTCAATACTAAAAAAAATGTTCTTGTTAAATTTAATTTTCATTGATCATCAAATTAACAACAATAATTATGTTTAAAAAAAGTTTTTAAGATTACAATCTTTAATTTTTTAACTTCTAAATATAATCTTGTTGTAAGTTAATTTGTTATAATCTCAAAAAATCTTTATATTGTCAAATTAATCATCACAAATCATATATGCTTGCATTTCCTGAAAATTCTCTGCAATTTTCAAGAAGTTTTCATAGATCACAGTTTGAATATCACTGATCTATCCCACACTACATTTCTAAATAATAATAATTTTGCACTTCAAGATTATGTAATTATCTTTAAATTTGGACGCTCTGTAGAAATTTACTTTTATCTTTATTAGTTCATTGTTAAGTAAACTGATTATATATCCAATTTGTTCATATACAGTATTACATAAATTTATGTTTTTGTTTTTTGTTTACATCAAGAAAAACTAAATATGAAATATATGGCAAATATTAATAAACATGATATCAGTTGTAGAAATTTTGAAAATTAATTAATAAAATAAAAAAATTCAACATTTGAATATGGAATCTTTAAAAATAAATGACATTATTAGTAAAATATTACAATTGATTAAAATGAAGACAACTTTTATCTTCAATATATTTATTTTTTATATTTTAAAATATTACAATTTGAATATATACCAAAGAACAAATTATTTGATAGATAATTTCCAATTTAAAATTAGATTATTTATATTAATTAACTGTCATAATTAAGACAAATTTTAAAAATTAAATACATTGCAATCAACATAAAAATTATTTGAATTAAATTTTCATTTATCTGAAAATATCTGTCTAAAACAGGATGTAAACTGGCAACTCTCACTTAAATGTAAATTGAAAGTCATTGGATTTCAGAGAAATGATTCAAATATATATCAATTTTTATTTGGAAATGTATTATATCAGTTCCTTGTTAAAATGACTATATTCCAAAGCAATAATATATAAGAAAACTGATATCATGAAATAATTTTAATTTTATCAATCATTATTAAATTTTATAAGTAAAATATGTTTACACACAGATATAAAAATAAACTTATTTTAAAATAATTATTACTCATGTATATCATGTATGCCATTTTGTAAAAAAAAATTCAATGATTATCATATATATAATTTCAATATCTACTACAGTAATAGCTATTTTATTTGCTAAAATTGATTTTTTTAACTGCTGAGTTGGAAAAAAACTATTTAAAATATTTTTCAAATGTTTCTGTAGAGAAAATATCAAAATTCAGCAACACAACTCCAAAGCTAGAAATAGTATTAAAACTATTTTAAAATTTTATATAATTTGGAAAATGTTTCAGAATGCACAATTACTGAAATCAAAATCATTTTTCTACTTTAAACTTATTTATTTATTTTGTTTAAAATATATAATTATCATAAAAGAATAATAGCATGTGTAAAATTGCTGTTGCAATTCTAGTGTTCATCTGCTATAATGATGTGACAAGAAATTTCTGATTTCTGACAGAAATATAAACATATTTGTATATTATAATACTTTTTATAAAATAATCTGACAAATGAATTTTTGAGTAAAGAAGATTTTGAATTTTCTAATAAAAAAAAAAAAATTGTAATTATTGCTAGAAATGATAAACATAAAATCAAGCTTGCGAAACAAAGAAATTTTACATTATTATTATTATTTTATTTCGCTTAAGGTCAGGTAATTGCTTTAAAAGTTGAGCCTTCAGCCAGATATATAAGAAAATAAACAATTTCCATTTTAAAATTGCTTTGAATATCAACAGTTCTGACCAACTAGTTACATTCACAATAAAGATGCTACATAATCTTATCACACAGAAATAGATAGTAATTGTATTTCAAATTTAAATCTCTTTAATAAGAATTCTGTAAAAGCTATTCTGCAAATATTACATAGTAGTATTAATACAAGTTTCTGCAGTTAGTAGATTGCAAAAAATCCGACAGGTTTTAATGTCATTGTGTGTTGTCAAGAACTGTAAATTTTTCATTTTCATATAAAACATATTTTGAATTAAACAACTGACATTTTTAATATCTAGATGTTGGCACTAGAAAGGGTATAAAAAGATCATCAGTAAGTATATTATTTCCTAATTTAATCTTTCTGATATGTCAGAGTTTTTAAAATAAAAATTTCCTTAAGTAACCAATACTGTATCATTTACTCTATTTAGAGATAATCAGTCTAAATCAGCTCTGAAATTTTTAGTGAACTGATTATGCAGTAAGTTATCATAAAGATGAATCATCAATGCAATAAAAAAAAATAGTAGCTGATAATTTCTCCATATCAAAACTTATGTAACAATTTTGAAAATTAATTATATCTTCTGAAGAGTGTGAAATATATGTATAATACATATATTAAATATATGTATTATACATAAAAGTCACAATTTTAATGTTTTTATTAATACATGAAATTTTTATTTACCTTTGAAAAATCAGGAATAAACTTTGAATCACCAAATCCTTTATAATTTCCCATATTTGTCAATATTCCAGAGAAATATAATATAAAATTTTTAAAAATCTCACCTTTCCTTTGAATCCAAGTTGTTTTTCATGATTATCAAGAGAGTATATAAGTTCAGAACAATGTTTCCAGACCATTTCAAGAAGCTGAGATTCATTTTTGTATGCAACACTTTTCTTAAGAAGATTTTCAAACTTAGTCTGTCAAATTTTATAATTACATATTTAATATAAATACATTAGTTTATAAAATTAACTTTTGAAAATATTAAGTAAGCTAAGATCTAGTTACATTTTAATTCAAATAATCACTGTAAAACTTAGTTAAGAAGTTTCCACATTAGAAATTTTCCTGAGTAAGAAGTTTAATTTTCAAGTCCAAATTTTTTCCCTGTCCAATTTAAGAAAATTTCTGATTAAGTAAACAGAAATCCTTGTCCATGACTGGAAAATGGATTCACTTAAAAATATTCACAACCATGTCCTATCAAATATTTTATACAATTAATTGCAGATAGAAATGAAAAAATCGTTACAACAGAAAATGCACAAAATTTTTGCACAAAATTGCATGTGCAATTTTGGACTACTCTGAACACAAATTTTATAATTTTCTTACATGGTTATCTGACAACAATGCTTGCTGCAAAAACAAGTTCAGACAAGCACTATCAATACATAAGTGACATTGTAAGTCTTCAATGAATTTTAGTATGGTATTTGTAGATCTGCGAGATCTGTGATTTTGTTTGTGAAAATCATAAAACATATTTTTTTTTTTTACATAACAAAACTAATAAAGCAATGTACATTAGATAAATATCTAAATAAGTAGATACTATGTAAGCCAAATTCACTGTAATGTATCAGAATATTGTTAAATAAATATGGATTGCTGAAAGAAGCTATATTATTTTTATTTCTGTTTAAGAAGTTTTAAAATTGATCCCTAAAAACTTCTTAACTGAATTCTACTGTATATAGAATTTTATAATAAGACAACATTATTTAATGTTTTTAATCTATTCTAGTATTCTTTAAAGTTTTCAATACTAAAAAAAATGTTCTTGTTAAATTTAATTTTCNTTAAGCTTTATCATTGTAAAATCTTTAAGTTATATCAATGTAAAATACATCCATTATATATGTAATATCTTATAAATAAAAAGAAAATTTTGTTTGTTTGTGGCAGAGTTCTATTAATGTGTGATCTTTATAGACACATTTGTGTTTGAATTTGTAGTGTTCCTAAATTTAACCTTTTCTGTATACTTTTCTGAGAAATTTAACTTTCTTTTTATTTATATATTTTCCTATGAACCCAATCCATCATATTTTATAGAAAAATTCAAGCATGCCCACAAATTTCTTTCAAATGACCATAAAAGTTCATTTTAGAAAACAACTCTGTGATATCACTGCCTACAGACAAATCTACCACTGAAAATACAACACATTAACTTCACCTTCAGTTACTTGTTTTGAAAATAGTATATTAATAAAGTAGTTTAATTATTAAAAACACATGATCTATCTATAAGTAAAGATATAAACTGGCTAAAATTGGCTATGGTGTTCTTACCCTTTAATTAATGTCCCTTTACTGTAGTAACAACACCACAATCAATGGAAACCAATAATTTAGTTTATCACTTTAGAGTAAAACATAATAACATGTAAATATATAAAATAAAACATTATTTCCCATCTACTTTCAATGTTTCCTTGAAATATAATTATTGCTTCTTCAAATATATCATTTTAAATTGTTTTTTACATGTAAAATACAGAAGATACAAAATAGTCTTTATGCTATATTTTTACAGATTGTTCTACTAAGAAATACTTTCTTCATAGTTTGAGAGAAATTTTTTAACTTTTATGAATATTCTTCTAAAATATAATGGAACCTATGCCAAAATAATAAAATAAACTTTGTTTTACTTAAGTAAAAGAAAATCAAGAGCAAAAATAACGAAACTTGTTGATACCACAACAGAAGCAAGTATTCAATTTATGTAGTGACCAACTAACAAAAAATGCATATAGTTTTCAAATCTGCTCAATGTATTTTTTTAAGACAACTTCTGGCAAGTTGTTCAACATTTTGATGTTTTCATAACTTCAACTTGCTCAGAAGCTGTCATTCTTGGATGTCTCAGTCAGTAACCATCCAGCATAGGTTGATTTGTGGTCTAGTTCTTTTCAAATATACTCATATTTATTTTTGGCACTTCCTTTTTCTTAAGGGGGTTTTTCAGTTTCATTTATTTTAACTTTCATTTATTTTAACTTTTGCATAGTTTTTTTACCTATTGCACATTAAAGGAATGATAGCATAAATATGTTTTTAGACTTTTATATGTATTAGCAAATAAAAAAGAAAGGATATGGTTTGATTTGTGGAACCTAACCCATATTAGTCAAGTATGCCTGAAATAATTAATGACAGGAATTCTTAAATTAATAATGCTTAAAATTCTAAATAACAGGAAAAGAGCAGTCTATAAAATATGTCTGCATTCTTCTTGAAATATTTACTCTCCCAGCTTGACCAAGTTTTCATAACCTCCTCCCCTCTTCAGATATGCGACAAAACTCAACCCTCCATAAAACCTTCATCACTCTATAAATGATAGATACCATAAATAGAAACTAAACGTACAAGAAATTTTTGAAATAAATATAATAAAGTGGATAAACTGTATAAAATTGAATGAAATAAGCAGACGTTGATTGAAGCTCAATCCCTCTCCTCCTCTTGTCCAAATTTGTCTGACTTGTCAAACCACCTCCCTCACTTCAAGTGTGGACATCATTTATGGATAACCTCAATGGTTTAACAAATTTTCTTGCTGATCTGACAAATTTGTAAGTCTAATATTAACATCATATCAAATAATATAAATTCACATTTCACTTCCAAAATAAATGTTTATGTTTGTTCAACTTTAATAAGAATTCCAGTTAGGATACTCTTTAATCAAACCAGAACATGGCTCTAAACTTAATTTAGATAATAAATAAATATTTTTATTATATTTATAACAAAGTTATAAGTATTCAAACTATAATTTTATTAGAAACATAAAGTATTGATTGATAAAAGTTAAAATTCATTATTGAAACTGAATGAATTATTAATGTGTATAATTATGCAAGTCAACTATAAACGTAACAAATAAAAACATCTTAAATATTAAATAAAGTAAATTTCTCTTACCTGTATTAACACTATTAAACCACCAAACCAAGATGCACGAGATAAATAATGGGCATAAAGTTTTTCTTGATTTGTGAGAGCAGAAAAAGCTTTTTCACAATCTAATAACACAACAGGCTGATCATTAGGAAATACAAAGTCTGACATTTTTTCTTCTGTAATGATACTGTTTATATAAAAAAAAAACATTTTTAATATAAATAAATCAAAAACAAATATTTAATTTATATTAATAAATTTAAATATCTTGACAAAAAATTAAGCATGCTTGACTAAAGAATCACTAGACCAAATTTATACAATGATCAGTCTAATAAACATTCATTTATTAAATGTAAACCTCACAAAAACAAATTACATGAAAATAAAACTTTAGTATGTTATTATTTATTTATTTTAAAGATCAAATTCAATTATCCTGTAATTTAATTACCTTTCAAAAAAAATAATTTATGTATTTTCTATTTTCTTAAACATCATATTTTCATAATATTAAAAAAATTATATTCTCTTATCAGCACTTAACGTTATAAAGTTCAGATGACAAAAATATTTAAATTTTGTTTTGAATATACAGAATTTAGCAAATAAGTTCCAAGAGTCCATTATAGACATAAAACAAAGAGAGAGAGAGAACATATAAAACTAAAATCTGCTTTATTGGTGCTCATCTATATATATAAAAATGAATGTATGTGTGTGTGTGTGTGTCCTTCATGCATTACCACACCGTTTATCCGATTGCCGTGAAACTTTGAGAAGTTGTTTAATATACTCCCGTGAAGGTTTGTGGCGTAGTACGATTGCCATGAAGCTTTGGGAAGTTTTTTAATACACTCCCGCGAAGGTTTCTGGCATTTATCCTACGATAGATGGCGCGCGTTTACACGAGCATTCGAGCACAGTGTGTTCGATCGATTTCAAATTGTGAAGACCATTTCCCCCCTCCAAAAAATATCTCTATATATGCATTTATTATTTACGATATTTGTTATAATTTTTGTTTAATCACTTTATTTCAACTTTTTTTTTGCTAATTACGTAATCGCTCGAACTTTGTTAAAGCCTTAACTGTATCATGAACAACAACCGAAGTTGTAGAAGGAAATTCGCCTATTTTACCGATCTAGGGATCCCCCTTTTCCAAATTTTAATATCGACTCAAAATAATTTAAAAAGACAAATTACAATAAAACGGTTTATTATCCAACTATGAGAAATTTCACAACACGCCAAGGAAGAGAGGAAGGAGCAATTAAATAATCAAAATTATGAAGGATTAAAAAATATATATAAAAATGGGGAATATCGCACTTCTAACAATCTCTGCGAGTATGTGGGCTAAGTTTAAAGAATCCGTGCTTCTCGCTTGGACAACTGTAAGTGGCCAACTCATGCGTCGGAAAACCTTTTGATTTATTCGTGTACGCACCAGACGGAAAAACAAAAAATATCATGTATCCACAAAGCACTCCAATAAATAAATAAAATTGAAACGACACTTTGAAATGTTTTCCCGATGAAAATGAATAATAATAATAAGTTTCAATAAAAATGATAAAACGTAAATTTAATTTTATCATAACGAGTTTGCTTGAATTTCCTTTCTTCTGAGATCGCAGCAATGCACGAAGGGTAAGCTAGTTTATAATAAATAACAAACCAGGGATGAACTGGACATCTGGCATTTCTGGCAAATGCCAAGGAGGCTGATGCCCTCTGGGGCTGTTAACATGGTGTTGGAGTTATATAAGAAAAGCATAATTTTTGAAAACCCATTACAAACATCTTTTATATAAAAATTTTAAGCAATACTAACAGAAAACTTTAATAACAATTATATTCAATTAACCTAATTACTTAGTATTATTTTTCCCTTTAATTAAAAGAGTTTTATTATTTAGGAAATCAGTTTTTAATACAATGCAAAGACCAAACTTTGTTTCCAGTCAGTGCTGACAGAAATTGAAATTAAATATGAGCAAGCTCCAATAAAGCAAACTTTATTATTTTAAAAAAATTTAAGTTGTTTTAATTATTTTATAAAATGAATAATTCAACATCTCTGTGATAATTAACTAGTCTTATTGCTCCCTCTGTAAGTTCATTCACATACACTATTTGCATATAATTAACCTTTTTTTTTAATTATGTAAACTGTTGTCATTGTTTGTAATAATAGAACAAGGAGTAGACAAACTTTTTTACAAGAAGGATAGAAATGTGTCCGAAATTTAGAAATTAATAAACTACATATTGTAATGATGTTCTCTGTTGCTCATATGTTTCTGAATGGTTTGTAAAGCTTTGAAACAGCGTGATGTTTTGTAGAAAATAAATGTTCGTCATTTCTGGAGTTTGAATTAACAATGGAAAACTCAAAAATGATAAAAATTATTCATAAATTAATCGTGTCTAATCCATTTAAATGACTTTTAAACTGATGAAATAATAACTTATTAACAAAGAAACAATAAAACTTTTGATGAAAAATTTGGAGAAACAAAGTTCTGCAAAAGATTCATTATGTTTCATTCTTTATGATAATCAGAAAAATTATTGTAAAATACAAAATTGCAAAATTATATTAAAAAATACTTCTAATTGTTTTAAGAGATAATTTCTTCTATATTCCCAAATTTTGTTTAACATTAATTTTATTTTAGATATAAGAAATTGTCTGCGAAAGACAAATCAGTGGAATAAATAGGTTAAAAATCATTTAAATTTACTGTTATCAATTCATTAGTTAATGTACAGTACATCTCAAATAAATTGGTGGCAGTAAATTTAAATGAAGTTTAAAAAATACTTCCATGAGATTTTAAGTAAACAGAAAATAATGTAGCTTGTGAAGGAGAACATTATTATTTTGAACAATATTAAAATGTTTTTCATTCTAATATGTGGTATATTTTAAATTTGTAACTCTAGAAATTAACCACCAAACCACATTACTCTTTTTCTTATATAATTTGTAAATTGTTTATGTAATTTTCATCATCTCTTGAATAGATCTTATACAGAAAAACAAAAGATTAATATAATTTAGACATATAAAGTTATATAAAATATAGATTAGAATACTGTTATAATTGAAATAATACACAAAGTTCAAGAAAGAAGAAGACAAAAGTAAAACATAAAATACTACAACAGAACATGACCTGTAGAAATATCTGAGAGTTTAATTACTAGCTATAGTACATCAACAATGCTTCAGTTAACATACTAATGAAATCAAGACACTATTAAAACTATCAAAAAACTTATTTTTCATATTATTAAAGATATTTAAATATTTTAATTTTCTATAAACAATATAGCTCTCTATATTAACCAAACATTTTTTAGATTAAAGAGAGTCCATCTATATAGGTAAATACAATAATCCCAGAATATTTCAAAAATGATTTCTTTGCAATATGAAAGATGAGTGTAGTGTAAAAAGTTAGGGATACTTATATAAAATATTTATCTTGAATTTCTTATTTTAAGGTTTTTAAGATTTAGTTAAATTTATTCTAATTGTAACAAATAAAATTTACTTTCTATGGAACTTTATTACTGACCAAAAAATTTTAAACTTAGATTTATATAAAATATACTGGCTTTACATCAATATTAAATTTAATCCTATCATAACAATAAATTTTAACATACACTTATAATAATTTATTGTAGAGTGAGAAGCTAAAAATTTCCATAAACTGATTTATTTAGATTTTGCATATGATGTTTTTCCATTATAGCTTTTGAACATTTACTAATTTTTAATAAAACTGCTAAAAATATACATACAAAACATAGAACTGTAATTGAATAATAAAGTAATATATTTCGGTGACTCTTAATTAAAACTGAAAAATTTTGTAAAAATAATAATAATAAATTAAAGTCCTGAAATCTTTATAAAATTGTTTTTACAGTTGTATCTTTTTACAGATAAAATTCTATAATATTTCTATCATGTAAATACAATCAAACCTCTCTAAAATGATACCTGTTACAACAATAAACCATAATACAACGATAGAACTTCTGCAGTCCTGGCTGAAGTTCTATACAGATACTGTAATTTACCACTTGCTACAATGATAGTAAAACCCTCGATACAATGATATGACTATCAAGTTGTGTTAGCATGGCTTGTGGCTGATTGATGCATGAGCTGCATGATGAAGAACTAGGAACACCTACTTGCTAATCATGTCACCTATGGATCTTACCCACATTCCCGAATGGTTTGTCCACATCTAGCTAATTGGTGGCATTGTAATCGTCATCACTATTACAGGGAACTGCAAGCACTGACCAATCACAAAGTACTTCCTTTTCCTGCCAGACAAGAGCTCCAGCTAGTGGCCAAGAAGAAGAAAATAGTAGTACTAACAAATAGCAAAAGAAAAAAAAATGGCAAAAGCACAAATAAGTTTAGAAATGAAGTTAAAAGCATTCAAAGATATTGATAGTGGAATGAAGCAAATAGAAGTTGCAAAAAAGTATGGCATTGTTCAGTTAACTCTGGCAACATTTTTAATTAATTAATTAATTAAAGAAATGGAAGGAAATCGAGTAGTGTAGGATGTCCAACCCATGGCCACTGCACCCTAAAATTTTTTAGGTATATTTTCACTTATTTTGGTAAAGTATGTTGTAAAACTTATTCTTGTTTCACTGGATACTAGTGATGTAACGAATATTCGGTTACTATTCGGTATTCGGCCTATTTTTCACTATTCAGCCGAATACCAAATACTTAAATCACTATTCGGCCAAATACCGAATACCTAAAAACAGGAGTAAGAAATAACAAAAACACAGTAAATTAATCATTTTGGTATTTAGATTTAATGTTATTGGGTTAGTATTGTTTGTTTATATTTATTTATAACTTATAGCATTCACAAAATAAAAAAAATAATAATATTAGTCACATGTATTCACAATTTACAATTACAAAGATCAGCACATGTACACACTTATTCGTTCAATAATCGTTGCACATCTAAGGGTCTGACACTGCCTACCCTTCTTTTTAAGTGCTCGTGTTTGCCCTTCCCTTTCTCTTTCCTCTATCGCTCTAGTCCACATATGCCTATGCATACATCATAATATGCGCTCACGATACTTTCGTCACTATTCCATTGTAGATTTCCCATTTTACAATTACGTGACTTATAGCCTGGTGATAACAGAGAAAAGAAACAGATAGGATGTCGGTATAAGTCACAGTTATGATTTCACAGATTTGAGACAGCTTGGTAGCCTGAACGGCCCCAGGCTTTCGCCTGTGCACACTAAGTGACTTTCACTACAAGCACTTAGCTTTCTTAAGTTTATGACAACAATTGTTTGGCATTGACAGCTGCAAATTTCGTGCCAATAAGCTGCCTCAACTTGTTTGATTATGTTATCAACTCAATTTCATATTTATTTTCACATTTCCACATCATGGTCCTTCTCTCTTCTTTTTCTGTTATTTACATGTGTAGGTCATTTCATTGTTATCCACATTTGCTATCATCATTTATCTCATACTGCCATGAAGCTCTTGTCTGTCCGCTACAACTGTCAAGAATTAACACGATTGGCAAAGCATAGTGACAGCGAGCCAATAGAGAACAGGGTCCTTGCCATAATGTGGTTTGCTCGCCAATTTTCGTATGTGCATTAATCAAGCTGAATAGTTTGGCCGAATATTCAGCTATTTGGCCATGCTCCTGGCTGAATATTCGGTATTCGGCCCGAGACCAAATATACCATTCATTGCAACACTACTGGATACACTTTGATGTCATAATGATGTAATTGGTCGGTGGAGAGGAAACTTTTTAGCTCACAAAATATACATTTTTTGTATTTTCCAGTTGAATTAAAATGGTAATAATGGTACAAAAAGATTTAGAATTCCACAACAAAAAAATTGATATTTTATTGTAGTATACTATATTAATACTGTACAAAATTAATAAATCAGTGTTTGACATGGCTTTTAAAACAGCATATCTATACTGTACTTAAACACAAAAACAGAAACAAAAGTCATTGATAGTGTTGGATCTATATAATCCAGACCTGTTTTACTGTTTGCTTCTACATTATTTCAATTATTCAGCTAATCCAAAAATCTGCTAATCTGAACAGTGTTCGTTCCCAATTAGTTTGGACTAGCGAGACTCTACTGTATATTTATTAGAAAAACTCGATATTCACATTTTGAACTTTTTAAAAGCATATCATATATATATATATATATATAAAAATGGATGTGTGTCCCCCTATATTTCACTTTTCCGCAAAAACTACACATCGCACATGAATGGTGTTTGTATGTGGTAGTAGCCCCAAGTCTCCATTCGTGCATAGGGTGGTTGCGTCTCGTAGCTATAAGGGTGTGGGAGATATGAGGCTGAAAGTGGTTGAAAGTGGCTTTCTATTTCGAATGTTTTGTTCGAATTAAATTCGAACATAAAATTCGAATATTGGTTCGATTATAGAACGATTGTAAACGTTCCAGAAACATTGAAAATAGTTCGTTTGACTAAACGTAAAAATTCTCTAATTAGTCTGGAAACGAGGGACCTAATTCTTGCATTCTGTGAAAACAGGTAAGATCAGCTATAATGTAATTATCTTAATCTTCACTATCGTTACTTTTTGCCCAGCGAAGCGGGTCCTTGCAGCTAGATTCTAGATTACTTAGAAAAACAGTCTTTTATACATATACATATAAAACTATATTACATACAAATAAAAACCCAGTAAAGCGGGTCCTTGCAGCTAGTATTTATATAAAATACCTTTCTGGCCCACTGAATATACCTAATTTGTTTCTAATTTCTAAATTTCTAATATGGCCCATTAGGAAAGAAGGCTGGACAACCCTGGTGTAGTGGATGGAAACATGGATCCTTCTCAGAAACATCTGAAAATACCTAATTGTGATGATGTTGACAGCGCAACATTTCATTGGTTTACTGAGATGCAGGCACAGAATATACCAATAAATGGGCCAGTCCTGTGCCAAAAATCAACACATTTTGCAAGGATAATTGGACACATGGAATTTAAAGCTAGCAACAGATGACTGCACCACTTCAAAGTTGTCTCAGAAGAAGAAAAATCAATGCCACTTGAAAAAGCAAATTCTTGGTGTGAGAAAAAAATCCTTAAAAGGTCCCAACGTAACATCTACAGTAGAGATAAAACTGGGTTATTTTTCCAATTTATGCATGAAAAAAATTTGCATTTAAGGGGAAAACATGCAAGGATGGTAATCAATCAAAACAATGCAAAACATCTTTGCATGCTGTTTTGATTGTTTACTATCTTAGTTTTCGAGTTTTGTTTACGTCATTTACATGCAACAACACAACCTGTAACATTTACAAGTTTTTGAAATTTTTGATTAGATAAAATACAAACTATACTTAATTCCTCTACTTTATACATTAATTATGCTATTTTAAAATCAATTTTAATCAAAACTTTCAATATCGAAGCTACTGAAAAAACAAAATACGAAATGATAATTACAAGATCTACGATTCGGTTTTCAAAACAGTAACAAATGTCAAAGTTACTGCCATTTGGTAACGAGATTTGTTTTTTCATTATTAATGTCGGTACTTTTCCATTAACTGGGCGCCATTCAATTTTCAATCCAATTTTAGAAAAAAACGTGTTGTGTTGTGTATAAACATGTGTACAAAGATGTGTATAAACAATGATGTATAAGCATGTGTATAGACATATTCATTGTAACAATATTAAACACACGTGAACTACGAAATAAACTATCGATTTCGATTTCGATTTCGCTAAAAATAGTAGTAAAAATGACTGGCGTCCACTTAACGGAAAAGTATCGAAATGTTAAATAATGAATCACGCTAGATATATATAATAAAATATTTCGTTAATCTAAAAGCAATGAAAATATATAGAACATAATGTCTTACAAAGTTCGATAAATTCAACACTCGACCGAGTATGTTGTCACATGCACGAAGCAACACGTTGACAGACAGTGTTGCCATACTGTTGTTTCGAATATTTGAATATTATACTAAAATACTGTATTCCAATATTATGTATCGAAAGATTACATGTAAATGAACAAATACAAAAACTTTTTATTTTATAATATTTTTATTATGGGCTATCTATTATACAGCATACCTTTTTTTTTATTTATTTAACACTTTCTGGTGGGTTTTCGACCCGAAAATTTCAGAATTTCTCAATTTCTCTCTCACCATCCGTCCGCTTATTTTAAGTCATATCAAACTCCGATTAGTTTCTCAAAAGGTTCTCTTAAGGGCTGTTTATAGTCCAATAGTAGAACGGAGTTTTAAGGTCGCTGGAGTTGACAAGAATATTGTCCGGTTATTGTAGTGAAACTCGGCACAGTGTGGATTGGTATCAAATGGCAAAATAACAGCTTATACACGGGGCCGGCGCAAGAGTATATGACGCCCGTAGAAAAAGAGGATTTATGCGCCCCTTATACATAGTAGAGAGTTGATTATCCGAATGTATATACTTATAAATATATATACATCAGTGGCGTGCCGTCATTAGAAGCGTTGGAAGCGCAGCTTCCCTCGTATTCTCTAAAAAAAATATATAAATATTAATTTTAATTATATGAAAATAATCGCACAATATTTTATTATAATCGCATTATGTATCTTATTACAAATTTCTATACTACATGTGGAAAAAAAAATTGCTATTGTATATTAGTGGCGGAGTGGAATCTCCTGTATTTTCAGATTACGAAAAGCCAGATTTGCGCATGCGCTTTACAGAGCACCAACCTCACCCGGT